TTATTATTATTATTATCTAGCCTAAAAACTCTTATTTTCCTGTTCTTTGCTGTTCTGCACAAAATTGACCCGTAGACCCTTCTCCCATCCACCTACTCCAAAAATTTGACCCCCCTTCACCAAAACACCATTCAAACAATGAAATAAAGTGTTATATTCATACAGTTCAGTCACTTCAGTTATCATTATACCGAACTTTAAACTGGTATCTTAGCCCACTTTTTACCAAAAAAGTATTGGCACATAGCCCTTTTCATAATTTCTTAAATAAAAGTTTACATATAAAATAGGCATGTTGGTATTCTTAGTTCAAATTTCGTAGGTATGTACAAAGTGAAGCCCTTTATTGATGACAGGTTCCTAGGAAGTTTTTATCATTTATCTCAAAACTTCATTTTTTGCACTTAGCCCGGATTTTACATTCGGGCTACAATTTATTGTGACAGTTTTTAAGCACTCTATAATTTTCGAAATTAGAGTTTATTCCACAAATAGATGTAGTCTACTGATACAAACGCATGGCCAAAAAAAAAATGAATAAAATCCATTGAGGATTTTTCGATTTATTTAAAAAATTTTAAAAAAATATTATTTTTAAAGCCCTCTAGCGGCTAAACCAAGCAATTTTGTATATAGATAAGTTGAGGTCTTGTGTTGTACACGTCATTTCCGAACACCTGTATAATAGTCATAAAAAATTTTTTTTTAATATACCGGGTGTCTCACGTAACTGGTTCGTTAGAACTTTTTCAGATTCCACTATTCGTACAGTTTTGAAATTTTGGTAGCATGAGTTGTCCATTCGGAACTTTCCATCTAAAATATTTTCAAGATGGCCGCCACTTCCCGTCTACCAGAAATAGACCATAACTTCGTTATTTTAAATGGAATGCTATAGTTTTTATTACACCGTTTAATTGTACTTAAAAAAATAGGTTGACTTTCATAAAAGTTATTGGTACCTAGCGTTTTTCGTTTTCGCGTTATTTTGGTTTTAAGATTTTTTTGGTAAATTTCATCATGCTCTTTAAAACCTCATATCTCAGCCAACGTTCATTCAAAAAAGATCTACATTCGCACGATTACTCTTCAGATGCTGTCTAATAGATTGTCATTTGTTGTATCGGAGTATCTTATACAGGCTGGTCAAAAATTGAATTGCTGTTTCTCCATATTCAATGGCGAGAAAGTCGAAAATTTAAAATGGAACGCCCAATATTTTTTTAGCCTATCAGAAAGGGAATTTAATTCTCTACAAGTTATCTATGAACATTCCTATACCTGTTTATTGTAGTTTGCCTCATATTGGGAAATTTATTAAAACATGCAGGAAATCGTTTGGATTTTTAGTTTTTGACATAACAATATTTAATAAATAATAAATGACTTATGAAAATTTTTAAGAAAATGTTTAAAAATTTCTTATCTTTGAAAGCCCATATCTTAGCCATTTATGGGTTTAGACCAAACATTTCTATACGAATCATAATCATTTTAACTCTAGTATTTGTTATTAAAATTATGCCACGACTCACAGGAACACCCTGTATAATGGCCTCGAGTATCTAAAATTAATATTTACAATATATAATAAGTAAAACAGATTCTAAATATTCTGCCTCGGCCGCAAGCGACCTCGGCTACGATGATATGCCAAAATGAAGGATTGTCTTTGATGAGTGTGATATATGATGGCCAAGATTGTCTAAAATTAATATTTACAAGATATAATAAGTAAAACTGGTTTTAAATATTCTGCCTCGGTCGCAAGCGACCTCGGCTATGATTATATGCCAAAATCATGAAGGATTGTCTTTGATGAGTGTGATATATGATGGCCAAGATTGTCTAAAAGTTATATTTACAAGACATAATAAGTAGAATTGGTTTTAAATATTCTGCCTCGGCCGCAAGCGACCTCGGCTATGATTATATGCCAAAATCGTGAAGAATTGTCTTTGATAAGTGTGATATATGATGGCCAAGATTGTCTAAAATTAATATTTACAAGATATAATAAGTAAAACTGTTTTTAAATATTCTGCCTCGGCCGCAAGCGACCTCGGCTATGATTATATGCCAAGATCATGAAGGATTGTCTTTGATGAGTGTGATATATGATGGCCAAGATTGTCTAAAATTAATATTTGGAAGATATAATAAGTAAAACTGGTTTCAAACATTCTGCCTCGGCCGCAAGCGACCTCGGTTATGATTATATGCCAAGATCATGAAGGATTGTCTTTGATGAGTGTGATATATGATGGCCAAGATTGTCTAAAATTAATATTTGGAAGATATAATAAGTAAAACTGGTTTTAAATATTCTGCCTCGGCCGCAAGCGACCTCGACTATGATTATATGCCAAGGTCATGAAGAATTGTCTTTGATGAGTGTGATATATGATGGCCAAGATTGCCTAAAAATAATATTTGGAAGATATAATAAGTAAAACTGGTTTCAAACATTCTGCCTCGGCCGCAAGCGACCTCGGTTATGATTATATGGCAAAATCATGAAGGATTGTCTTTGATGAGTGTGATATATGATGGTCAAGATTGTCTAAAAGTAATATTTGGAAGATATAATAAGTAAAACTGGTTTCAAACATTTTGCCTCGACCGCAAGCGACCTCGGCTATGATTATATGCCAAAATCATGAAGGATTGTCTTTGATGAGTGTATATATGAAGGCCAAGATTGTCTAAAATTAATATTTACAAGATATAATAAGTAAAACTGGTTTTAAATATTCTGCCTCGGCCGCAAGAGACCTCGGCTATGATTATATGCCAAAATCATGAAGAATTGTCTTTGATGAGTGTGATA